GACCCACACTCGGAGCACCGTGCACAGTTCCAGTCTCCGTATCCCTCCGTTAGACCCACACTCGGAGCACCGTGCACAGTTTGGTGCTGTACAGAGATATGTTTAGCAGGGTGAGTGATTTTGTGTGTACTTTTGTTCCCCTCAGGTATGATAACGAGTTTGCCTACAGTAACCGTGTGGCTGACCTGATGCTGTACATGTTCAGCAAGGAGAACTGAGGCGGTGATCGGTGTGGCTGAGAGAGCGTGCTTCCTGGCTCATTGCGGGAGGGAGGAGAGAGGGAGAGTAGTCACACATGGAGATGCGGACGGTTCATTACAGCCTGTGCTGTGTAGTGTTTGATGTAGGTGAACCTGCTCAGCTCCAGTAGTACTCCACTGTTCACACTCGTGCTCACGCTGTGATTTGTGTGCGGTCAGTGGTATTTGTCTCTGTTTTGTGTATGTGCTTCTCACGGGTCCTCAGGGTACACCATTCCTCCTCCGATCATTCCTGATAAATTCCATGTAATTGTCGAAATAAATATCCCCATTCAACTGGCTGTGTGCTTAAGTGACCTCTGTTTGAGAGACTCTCGCTCGCGTCGATTGTTTCAGTCCCAGGAAGGGGCTGAGCCCAGTATTTTTGCCCTCCACCCCCAGAACCTGCCTAGTTGAATTGTTACTGTCAGGACACTGAGGGGGCATCAGGGAGGGAGTTCCAGCCTTTATCCTGGTGCAGGGTCACCTCCTGAGGGAGTGATGTTAAACTGATGACAAATACCAACCCCTCAAAGATCTCACCGCCTCCCTATCGAGATTCACACTTGTGCGTGTGTACACATGTAGGCACACACAGTCCCAGCTCACACGGGAGATGTCACCGAGCTACTCCTGCAAAACAGCCCTGTTGATCCTGCAAAGTTATCCCTACTAACGTTTTGTGGGCAACTTGCCCACGTTGGGAGACCTATCTCGCAGGCTATTCAAGCCTGACATTGTCTATGTCCCAGACACCACCATCACTGTCCCTGGATATGTCCTGTCCCACTGGCAGGACAGACCCAGCAGAAGTGGGTGGAACAGTGGGATGCTGTGGGAGTCCTCAACGTTGACTCCGGACCCCATGAAGTCTCATGGCTTCAGGTTAAACATGGGCAAGGAAACCTCCTGCTGATTACCCCATACCGTCCTCATCGGCTGATAAATCAGTCTCTCCTCAATGTTGAACAGCACTTAGAGGAAGCACTGAGGATGGCGAGGGCACAGAATGTACTCTGGGTGGGGGATTTCAATGCCCCCCACAAGAGTGGCTTGGTAGCAGTACTACTGATCGAGTTGGTTGGGTCTGAAAGGACATAGCTGCTAGACTGGGTCTGCAGCAGGTGGTGAGGGAAAAACATACTTGACCTCATCCTCATCAATCTGCCAGCTGCAGTTGTATCTAGCCATGACAGTATCGGTAAGAGTGACCATCGCACAGTCCTTATGGAGACGAAGTCCCACCTTCACATTGAGAACAACCTCCATGGTGTTATGTGGCACTATCACCGTGATAAATGGGATAGACTTCGCACAGATCTAGCAACTCAAGACTGGGCATCCGTGAGGCGCTGTGGGCCATCAACAACAGCAGGATTGTACCCCAGCTCAATCTGTAACCTCATGGCCCGGTATATCCCCCACTCAACCATTACCATCAAGACACGGGATCAACCCTGGTTCAATAGAGAGTGCAGGAGGGAAGGCCAGGAGTGTGAACCAGATGAAGCCACCAAACAGGACTACTTGCACAGCAAAAGCAGCAAGTGATAGATAGAGCTAAGTGATCCCACAACCAACGGATCAGATCTAAGCTCTGCAGTCCTGCCACGTCCAGTTGTGAACGGTGGTGGACAATTAAACAACTCACTGGAGAAGGAGGCTCCACAAATATCCCCATCCTCAATGATGGAAGAGCCCAGCACATCAGCGCAAAAGATAAGGCTGAAGCTTTTGCAGCAATCTTCAGCCAGAAGTGCCGAGTGGATGATCCATCTTGGCCTCCTCCAGTGGTCCCCAGCATCACAGATACCAGTCTTCAGCCAATTCCATTCACTCCACGTGATATCGAGAAATGGTTGGAGACACTGGATACTGCAAAGGCTACGGGCCCTGACAACATTCTGGCAATAGTTCTGAAGGCTTGTGCTCCAGAACTTGCCGCTCCCCTAGCAAAGCTGTTCCACTACAGTTACAGCGCTGGCATCTACCCGACAATGTGGGAAATAGCCCAGGTATGTCCTGTACACAAAAAGCAGGACAAATCCAACCTGGCCAATTCCCGCCCCATCAGTCTCCTCTCAATCGTCAGGAAAGTGATGGAAGGTGTCAGTAACAGAGCTATCGAGCAGCACCTACTTGGTGACGCCCAGTTTGGGATCCGCCAGGCCCACTCAGCTCTTGACCCCATTACAGCCTTGGTTCAAACATGGACAAAACATTCTTTGTACTTGGGTTGTGGGTGTGATTATCGGCTTGCTCTCCGAGCTGCCTGGTTATCATACAGATGTTGTGTCACTGTGCTCGGTAACATCATCAGTGCGGCCTCCAATGACATGATGTAGTTCTACTCAGTTTGGTAATCTGGTCTGTTGAGGTGTTTTGTTATTTCTGGGTTTTCTTTGCAAGGGTTTGTATGTGGGATCTAATTCCACGTGTTTATTGATTGCATTACAGTGGAGAACCAGGCCTGTAGGAATTCCCCTGTGTGTCTGTGATTGGCTTGAGCTGGGATGGTTACTTTGTCCCAGTTAAATTAATGGCCTTTGTTGTCTGAATCACTGAAATGAGGGAAGGTTTGTCGCGTCGTTTTGGTGCTAGCTGATGTTCGCGTATCCTGATGGCTAATTTCTTTCCGGTCTGGCCGATTGTAGTCGTACACAGTCTGTAGGAAGGCAGCTCACACTGACCAAATCCTGACTTTCCACAGCAATCACCCCAACGCCCACAAAGAAAGCTGTGTAAGGTCACTACTCAAATGGGCTGCAACACAGTGGAACTTTGCAAGAAGGATGAAGAGCACTTACACAAGGCCCTCACTATCAATGGATGCCCCACCAACTTCATCTGCAGATGCCGATGAGTTAGACAGCACCAAGAGGACCCAATACACAATGGCCACACTATCCAATCTCAAGAACTTATTGGAACTGATGAGACTCCTATGACCACTAGGAATCAGGATAGCACAAACCCATAAGCACACTGCGACAAACACTTACAAAGACCAAAGAGTCCATACCCACCACATGCAGGACCAACATGGTTTATGAAATACTGTGCGATGACTGTAACAAACATTACTTTGGCCAGACCGGAAGGAAATTAGCCATCAGGGTACACAAACTTAACTAGCAGCAAAACGACACCGCAACTTTCCCTCACCTCAGTGCACTCAGGACAATTTACCTGGGACAAGGTAACCATCCCAGCTCAAGCCAATCACAGACACGCTGGGGAATTCCTACAGGCCTGGTTCTCCACCCGTAATGCAATCAATAAACATGTGGCGTTAGACCCCACATACAAACCCTTGCAAAAAAAACCCAGAGATGACACAAAACACCTCAACAGACCGGATTATATTAATTCCAAACGGTAGAACTACATCGCTTCATTGGAGGCCGCACTGATGATGTTACCGAGCACGGTGACACAACATCTGTATGATAACCAGCCAGCTCGGAGAGCAAACCAACATCCTCATGGACAAAAGAGCTGAATCCCAGAGGGTGAGGTGAGAGTGACAGCCCTTGATATCAAGGCTGCATTCGACCGAGTGGCATCAAGGAGCCCTGGCACAACTGGAATCAATGGGTATTGGGGGCAAACGCTCTGGTGGCTGGAGTCCTACCTCACACATTGGGAAGATAGTTGTGGATGATGGAGGTCAGTCATCTCAGCTCCAGGACATCCCTGCAGGAGTCCCACAGGGTAGTGTCCTAGGCCCAACCATCTTCAGCTGCTTCATCAATGACCTTCCCTCCATCATAAGGTCAGAAGTGGGGATGATTGCCGATGATTGTACAATGTTCAGCACCATTTGCAACTCCTCATACTGAAACAGTCCATGTTCACAGGCAACAAGATCTGGACAATATCCAGGCTTGGGCTGACATGTGGCAAATAACATTTGTGCCATACAAATGCCAGGCTTTAACCATCACCAATAAGACACAAGCTAACTACTGCCCCTTGGCATTCAATGGTGTTCCCATCACTGAATCCCCCGCTATCAACATCCTGGGGGTTACCATTGACCAGAAAGTCAACTGGACCCACCACATAAACACAGCAGCTACAAGAGCAGGTCAGAGGCTGGGAATCCTGCAGCGAGTAACCCCCCTCCTGACTCCCCCCAAAGCCTGTCCCACCATCGACAAGGCACAAGTCAGGAGTGGGATGGAATACTCCCCACTTGCCCCTGGATGGGGGCAGCTCTAACAACACTCAAGAAGCTCAACACCATCTGGGACCCATTGCAGAAATATTTGCGTCATCTATAACTACGGGTGAGATGCCTGGTGACTGGAGGGTGGCTAATATTGTACCTTTGTTTAAGAACGTTTGTAAGGAGAAACCTGGGAACTATAGACCTGTGAGTGTGACTTCGGTTGTGGGTAAATTGTTGGAGGAGATTGTAATAGAAAGGATTTATGGACATTTAGAGATGCAAATATTGATTAGGGATAGTCAGCATGGTGTTGTGTGAGGAAAATCATTTCTCACAAACTTGATTGAGTTTTTTGAGGAAGTTACCAAGAAAAGATTCATTGATTGATTGATTTATTGTCATGTGTACCAAAAAAGCAGTGAAAAGCTTTGTTTGCAAGCAGTACAGGCAGATCACAGCATCAAAGGATGTACAGATCACAAAGACTTAGAGGCATACAGGTCACATTATTTGAGGCTGGACTCCATTCAACAGTCTGGTAATGGCCAGAATGAAGCTGTTCCTGAACCTGCGTGTGCGTGTGAGATCAGGCTTCTGATGACAGCAGAGCAGTAGATGTTGTTTATTTGGATTTTAGTAAAGTCTTTGACAAGGTTCCACATGTTAGACTAATGAATAAAGTTAGATCACATGGGATTTAGGGTGCGCTAACCAATTGGGTACATAATTGGCTTAACAGCAGGAGACACGGACTGGTTGGGACGAAGGGTTTGGTTCCGTGCTGTATGACTCAATGACAGAGCAGCCCCCCCTCTCGATTGGCGCCACATCCACAAACATCCCACTCCCTCCCCCAACGACGCTCAGTCGCAGCAGTGTGTACCATCTACAAGATGCGCTGCAGAAACTCACCAAGGCCCCTCAGGCAGCACCTTCCAAACCCACGGCCACTTCCATCCGGAAGGACAAGGGGCAGCAGATACATGGGAACACCATCCCCTGCAAGTACCCCTCCGAGCCACTCCCCAATGAACTTGTCGCCATTCCTTCAGTGTCACTGGGTCAGAATCCGGGAATTCCCTCCCTAAGGGACATTGTGGGTCAACCCTACAGCACATGGACTGCAGC